CTCACCTGGCTACCAGTACCCCAATTTTGGCGAAGCTTTGAAGATATCCCAGGAAGTAAGATGCACATTTCCATCATCGCTCTAAGTCTAGAAACAGCAAAAATATCATTGTCAGAAAAAGATTAAAATGTAACTACAACAATAATACACTGATAAAGTTCATTTCACTAATCAAAACCTAATTAACGTAATTAAAAAGGCGTGCCCGGTTAAATGAACATCGGCGGGATACGGACAGTGTTTTGCCTTACACAGGATTAAAACAGTGTTTGTCAAAAAATGAGACTTTTGAGATGTTAGATGCTCATGAGTTGTGACTTACTTATAAGCAAGCTCTTTCAAGCTATTGTTCCATCCCTTGAGATGCTGATCAAGAAGGGCTTGAGTTATTGAGTTTATCTGAAATACATTTGGTGACCCCAAAATCACCTCCAACATTACCACACCGACGCTCCACATATCATACCTATCCAAGAAAGCCAGACAAATTGAGCCCATTACAGAGGGTTGGAATATTGGTCGACAGAAAGAAATGAGATCAATTTGACAGAACTCAAATAAAGATGAAAAACTCAAAGTGATGAAAAAGGAGATTCAACATACTTTGAACTGACACTTGATGGCCCTCGATACCAACTTGCATTAAGAAAAGCTTCCGGTGGAGCATACTCAGAGGTTTGTTCAGCACTATGAGATAGAAAAGCAAATAGGATTTAGATATTGCAACAAGAACCAAGAGATTACTTCTGCATTTAAGGTTGGAGACCACTTGAAAAGTGGAGGAAGTTGGTGATGAAAACTGTTCAAATGATGAAAGTTAACCTCGAACAATACAACCCAAGATTGCAGCACATAAAAATTAACTTTCCCACAGAGGAGATTAATTAACAGGTTCTTAAATTATGTAAAACCGAAATGTACATCTGATTTGCAAGTTGGCAGAGGCAGGTCTAGAGTAATTGAGGCGCTGTTCATGTTTTGTCCCAAATGGTGCATAGTACTTCCTTGTCATTTCCTCGCCTAATATTAGCAAAATTAACTTGGAAGAGATAATATGATATGCTAGCAGGAAAATGTAATACCTGGAAGGCCCAACTGACCCGTATAAGTGCTTTATAGTGAAATCATTCATGGCACTACCAAAGTCAATAATGCGCCTGCGGTTGTAACACAGATATCAAACTAATCTGGATGCAGAAAAAATGTATGAATCCCGATTTCATTACACATCAAACAGATTTTTTCCAACATCCACGAAAAACATTATAGCAAGCTACTAGAGGTTATTGACGCCCAATCTTTCTGGTACCAAGCATGGTCTCCAATTCGAATGAGATAAAGATGTTCCAGTAATATCAGTAAAAAGGATGGCATCAAACAAGGTTCAAAATCAGCAGTTAGATAAAAATGCTACAAAATGCAAAATTTCTGTCATTTTAAGTACTAGAATAGACATTCAGTAAAAAGTTATGGAGAAACCATGAAAGCAAGCATGACGAAGATAACACAAATGAGAAGCAATACATTTTAGTAGTAAAATTCTTGTCACTATTTGGACTTCCTGTAGTACAGCTTCCTGAGTCATTATCTTCAAAGCATATTACCATGTTTTCTTGCAAGAGGAAAAAAGAACATCCAAATTAGCCTTTGATTGTGGAAAGTATGATAAGCAACTGCACAAATTCATACATCTCTTACCAGGTTTAATGTCCCTGTGAGTGATGTTTCGGTTGTGACAAGCCTTGAGTGCCATCAACTAAGTCAAACATAAGAAATACTTTCACAAGGTTCTTTCGCGAGAAGTACTAAGTTATGGTGAGCAAATAGCAATCTTGCGCAAGGATGCTCGTTTTGAACGCTGTGTTAATTAGAAAAAATAATAGAAGCATACCAACTGCCGTATTATATTTCGGAGTTCCTCTTGGCCTGCTTCTGTAGTCTTCAACCAGTGCCACCATTTTGATGGTCGTAATATCTGAAGCCGCTTTCCATGCTCACTTTGTTCTTCATCAGTCACTACTTCTTCAGCAGAATATAGAAGCTTCGACAAGGAAGTACCTTCATGATGAAATACAAGCCATATCTCATTAGATCGTGACTCAAAAGACTCAACATATCTTGCAATATGATTCAATTCTTCTTCATAAGCAGCTCCATGCAGTCTTTTTTCCCAAAAATTCACATCCTCGGAACTAAAAGGTTCCTCAATATCTTGCTTGACCGATACATTAACATTTATGAAGCCATCGACATTGCATTGAGATGTTTTGCAAACAAAATCTGATTCTCCAGAAGATACTGAACCTCGTAGAGCGTTAGATGCATTTAAAAAAACTTCACCAAAATATTTCTCCCGTAAACCACTTAAGTATGCAGTAGCTCCCCTTTCCACCTGTTAAGAGAAGCCAATTAATTATATAAATCAAGCATTTAATGACTATAGAACCTCAGAGAAGTTTCCATTTCACAACCCCATACAGCAGATAAACTATGAGTATATATATACGGAACATAATAAAATTACTGATAACGCACTCGAACCCATCACGATAGTAGGATCATCTGGATTGAATTGAGATATAGGTTACGATAACATTTCCAGAAAAAGGGGAAGATAGAAAACTGTACAAAAACAAATGAGATGAATATCATGCCGTGGCATGACAGATTCTTTTCACCTGAACTAGGAACAATTTCATCACATGAAGGAAGATGCAAAATCTCTAAAAACAATAAACAACTATTCAATTGCTATGCTCGCCACAATCTCCACAAAATTAAATCTTTTTTTATTTGACTCCCAACACAAAGATCTTTTTATTTGTACATTCAACAACCAAAGTGGCTCCCAACCAATCTCTCAATTGACAAAACTAAAACCTTTAACCCAATGCTGGCCAATAATTTTTAATTATATCTTGACATCTGTTCTAGTTAAAAGTATTAAAAAATCAAGTAATAGGAGCAAATAAGACTGAGTTTTAGAACGAATGTATCACACGTGACTATAAGATATATATGAGTCAGTAACATTATGTAAAGACGAGATACAGGAATTAGGTCCTCATAAGAATGAATAACTCATGGTAACATTTTAATTTTATTGCACATAGATAACAGCATTCTTGCCATATTATCATTATTGAAGATCTTCACCTATGATAATATGGCAAGAATGCAAAAAATTGTGGTCAGCACATGGAAGGTAGTCTGTGTTATCAGGTCAATTGCCATATCGATGACACAATAAATTGTGGTCAGTACGTGGATGTGAGCTTACAGAAGTGCCGGATTGGAACATAAATTAAAAGAAGCCATGAAAAAATCACAACACCAAGAAAAGCATTGTCCACTTCAAAATGACTGTACAGCTTACCATTATCCGCTTCAAAATGAACATATCCTTATCAGAACGGCCAAAATTGTTGCGTTCATTGAAAAAACTAGTAGCTATATTCTCGTCATATGCCCTTGTGCTCTCATTTCTGTGAAGAACATTGTCTTCGGCATGCCACCATTTGAGATCTTTTCCTACTTGAGAACAATTCCAATTGAAAGCAAGCCAAACTTCTCCATATGCTCCACGGTCAAACTTCTTTTTTAAAACATACCTATGAATGCATTCCACAAATAAAAAATATTCACAGCTGATATTATAGTATGATGGCTAGAGGATTAAACAAATGACCACGAGTCTAAATCTAGATCAGAGGATTACACCAGATCACCATTTTATAACATTGCTTTCTTGAACAACTATCGTTACAAAAAATAAGGAGAAACCAAACTGCCAACAAATATTCATGCAGACACCCTCAAGAAATTGGATAGGTTAGAGCACGTGTACCAAATCATTTAAAGCTTCACTAAAGTACAAATAACTTCTAAAGAATCTGTAGATGTTCAATTAATTTAAATGTTAAATTGCATGCCTTCAACACCCAGAATAAGAGAAACGTTAACTTCTTCAATAACTAGACTATCATGTAAGAGATGAACTGACAAATATCATAGCAAATTTTGGCATATATATGAGCAACTATATATGCAACTAACTGCACGATATTCTTCATAATTGAGATAAACATTAAGGATTGCAAATCAATAGGAAAACAATCAACCTTGTATTTGACATCACGTGGTCATGTTGACCAGTATTATGAAAAGGAATTGATTCGAGCAAACCCAGGAATCTAGCAAAGCTACCAGAATTCATGCACCGATCTTTATCCTCACTACTATACATTCCAAAGAGCAAACATATTTGTTGGTCATTGTAAATATCCAAATGTCCACCTGCATCACGACCTGATTGAGACTTCAATTATTATTGTGTACAAAAATGGAAATACACAACTCATAACCAAGTTCTACATAATTTTATCGAGTGGCAGTTAAAGCGTAATTGAGTTACAAAAAATAACAGTCAACTTACTCCAAGAAAAATGATCAATGCCAGTTAACGCAGGTGACAGGTCAGACACTGATTCCCGGTCATCTTTATGGACCCAAAATGTGTAATCATCATTCACATCAAGGTTCTCCGATAAATAAAAGCAGCCATAGTTGTTATGCTTTCCTTCAACCTGCCACAAGGTAGAAGTAACATAATCCATCCAATTTTAACAAGTTTAAAGAGGATTGCAATGTATTCAATTGCAGATTGAGGAGCAAATCTTCGAACATACACTCTAGCAAAATATTGTTGGATGTACATCTGACCCAAACGTTGACTACTTTTATAACAATTTTGTCACCAACTAGCTAATGAAATTGGGACAAAGCATCCTATAATTGGTGACAGCCGAGTTGGAGCTACGAGACAGGCAAGTCCAGAATACATCTAAGGATAGTTAAGCCATTAAATCTAGGACTGGGAAAAAGTTGGCCCAACCATCTTCATTGCCATTTATTTGATAAAATTGTCGGTATGCCACACAGTCACACCTCTTTATATGGGATCATTAACATTAAACTCACTCTTGAACTTTATCAATAGGATTTTAAATGTTGTTATCCAAATTAAGGTAGCGCAGAGGAACAGCAATCAGATAATATGGCGGACAAGAATTAGATGCTTATTCTAAGTCTTACAAGCAATCTATCAAACTTAGCAACATCCGGAAGCAGCTGCAGCTCCACGAGTACTGAAGTATTGTCATCAGCTAACAAAATCAGCACAAACAGGCATTGGATTCAGTAACAGACTAAACCAATAGAGTATAAATTGAAAAAATGACAAGTGCAAATTAAAATCAAAGGAATATGACTGGCTAAAAATATGTCCAGGAACACCAAGTGCTTCAGTTACAATAAATGAAGCAGCAGTTTAAATCAACAGAAACCTTTCCTCAGTAATCATACAGAAGCATATTCAATTATCTTCCACAGATGTATTTGACTTCCAGTGGAAAGTAAAATTATCGAAAAAGTGTCACAAGTTTCTGAACTTGTGATGGTTTTAAGTAGGGAAAAAAATGATGAAATACAAGCAAAAGTTAAAATCGAGTTGCGCCGATCTGATTGAACTTAAACCAGCTTGAAAAGGTTTGGTTAATTCAGGATGGGAACAAATATCTTTTGAGGGTCTTAATGTTAGAACTACCTGAAGCAGGATAAGCCTAATCATCACATAAATCTTAAATTAGTTAAATAATAACAGATTGATATAGTTTTTCCTTTTCCTTTTTACTGACAAATGAACTAATTATTTGTTGCTAAAAGAACAAAGACCAAGAAAGAAAAAATCAATTATGTGGCCATAACCATCGCTCCTACATCACTTCCCACTTTAGCTAAGTTTTATTAGCTCAGTGAAGATTTGTTCTGCATCCAGGACAGCCCAATTCCAAAAATTCCTGATAGATCTACATGACTCTTTGGCTACACATTTTGTTAATTTTGAAAGTGCATCACTTTTTCAAGTTCTTAGGGATGAGAACAAAACAAATTCTATGGCTTAAAATTAAAGAAAAAAAAATGCATCTTAGAAGTTTGTAAATCATTTGAACTCTTACAAACTATGTATTGAACAAGAAAATTGACGTCGGTTGTTTAGAACACCCTCTCACCAGTCTCCTAGTAACTATTTACAAAAATAAAATAAGGCAATTGACATCAGGTAGTCAAGTTTTAGTGTTTTACACGTAGATCTTTTACAATCCAAGTGGTTAAATAATAGTTTAATGCAGATGCCAATTTGCATATTTCCTAGAAACATCCAATACAGTGACTTCCAGATGAAGGATTTGTACAACTAGCTTAGACCGCAAATAACAAAACGGTAACATCACATATTTTTTAATCTTCACCATACCAAAACAGAGGCTAGATAACATTCTAGTCAAAATAAACCACTGTGTGTGTGTAGAGAGAGAGTGAGAGAATGGCTCAATAATACTACAATTAGAAAAAAAAAAAGTTCAAGAAAAGAGAATCACATGACTTTTCATAGATCTGACTTTGATCTCCTACTGCCAAGTAATCAAATGGACTTGACGTGTAACTCCTGTCCTGCAAAGTTTCGATATAACCGGTATAACCTGGTTCTTTCACTGGAATTGCTATAGCAGCCAAATTATCCATACTTCCTCGTTCAAATGCAGTATTAACTATGCAATCAGCTAAAGAGTATAAACATGAAGAATTGAAATCTGGGGATGTAGTGAAATGAGAAAGTGGTTCCCACAGTATATCACAGATGTCCTGGGACTTAAGCTTTTCAAAAACACCATCAGACGCAACAATCACGTAGCTGTCGTTCGCAGTTAATGGTAGCCAATCTGTCACCTCAGGTACTGATATTACACCGAAACTGTCAAAAGTGCAAAAAGAATAAGAATTACCATTTACATTTATTTTCATTCATACACGAAAATCAACTTCAAATTCTATGGCCCTGTGAAAAATAGCCAGATGGTCATCACAACATATATTTATTGCCAGCTATCAATTTGTGAAAGGAAAATGGAAATATCTTATTGACATTTGACAGAACAGTCTCGACCCTCACTTTTTAAAATGTATGTCCCCAATTGCTCTAGATACAGCCAAATGGCCATTGACTCGAGCTACACCAGCCCACTCCGTAATATTGCCACCAGCAGATTCCACCCGGGATTTTTCGTCGTGTCTATCAGGATGGTGATCATTTGTCAGTTCCTTGGCAATTAAATATGTCCATCCATTCGACACCATTGACTTTAAGCGATGGTACTCCTTTAAGGATGAGGAAACACCATCAGCTCTTCTCTCCCTAACTACCCTAAAGACAGTTGCTGCAATTTGCAAGACCATGTATCAATAAAAACATATAAGCATCCATCCATAAAAGAAGTGAAAAACTCGTGTCCACCTCAACGCATGAAATTATAATCACAGCTGAACAAACTATTATCAAACAGTTGCTTTATAGATGACCCCTCGAGAAAGAACAAAAAAAAATGCTGATGATCAGTAGAGTCCAAAATGGCAGACTGATTTTTTCCATAGCTGGATGATAGGGCAAGAAGATGTTTGACCTTTAGCCTCAGATGGAGACTGATATATTTCAGAACACAAAAATGCCTTTGAATCGCCTAAGTTAGCAACAAGTATCCGTTTATCTGCTAGAAGTACAACTGTGGCTGTGGTTCCAGAACTGATATTGTATTTGGAAGCATCCTTCAGAACGTAAATATTCCCATCAGCAAATATACAAATTGGTAATATACATCTTCAGGTACATAAATTTACCTTAGAAAATGATGTATCAATATCATGGATTGCACTCAACAATGCTTCCTTCAATAAGTCAAAGGGGAAAGATTCATCTAAAATAGCAGACAGTGTCACCTTGAACCTACATAAAAGTTTTACTGAGTTTCACAAACACATGCCTGAACCCCAATAAATTAAAACATATAAGTAATAACTTATAACAGAACCTAACGTATATGAGAAAAAACGTAGCATCTCGTACAACTTAGCATATTGGACATGTTTTCTTAGGAAAATAAATGATCCAACTAAACAAAAATAACAAACCATTTAGCAACAAATGACTATTTAGAATTTTAAATATCCCCTTTATATCATCAATTAGCATAATTCAAAAGACAGGATTCACTTCATCATTTTCAAGAACATGAGCACCTCTTAACATATAATATGTTTCGCATTTTCAAGAACATGAGCATCTCTTAACATATAATATGTTTCGCAGTACCATAGTGATATATAATACATTGTTCTAATTTATCCGATCCTCCAAATTCAGTATGATGCTAATCCTCAATAATAAGCATAACCAGGTTATACACCAGAAATTCTCTTCTTGTGCCATGTAATGTACTTCTAAATAAGAAGCATACAAACAAATTTTCAGAAAAATACCTCCCATTATCCAGTGTCAGTAGATCAGGATCTTCATTCCACTCAATCTTCTGAAAAAGATAACCACCTTCTCCTGTATTTGGCAGCTGTTTTACCAATTTTCGCGCCAGGAACGAATAAGTTGTGTCGAGAAGAAAGTAAGTGTGCAGAACAAAATACTCCAGCAGCAGCTCCGAAGCCATTTCGCTAGCTTCCGAACCATTATGCCCGTCAAAAACGGCCATTATTGCAACCTTCACTTCTTTAACCCCCTTGGGACCTTTGTTGAAAACAAAAAAGGGGGGAAAATGAAATAAACATTAGAACGACAGACTTTTTCCAGGACAGAGACTGTACAGTTCATCAGAGCTTGGTCTCACTATAAAATTACCCGGGAAGGGGATGCCGAGGTCCACTGCACACAGAATTCGATCCTCCTGCGATTTCCGGCGGCCTTGGAGCACCGCCGACTGGCACGCGGCGGACGGAGATCGGAAACGCCGGTTGTGTTCGGGCTTGAAATTCGAGAGCTTCCACCGGGGGCATTTTGGGGATTGGAACACCGCCGGCGCGCCGCCTTCACGGTACACCGTCAAGCACGTCGGCGATTCTCCGGCGACGAGGATGCTCGCACAGATCGAAAGTCCGGTCAGCACGATCGAGATGTGCAGTTCCCACAAAATCATTTTGCGCACCCAAATTCAGAAGCAGAAAAAGATTTTGAAAATGAAATTGCCATAGAGAGATAGAGCCAATTTGGCAAATTTAAGACTGGCGCGGTCATGATAATGAGAAAATATCAATTTCATAAATAAACCGCTTTTAATATCACAACTTTTTTCAAAACTCCAATTTAATCACAAGCCTTTTTTTTTTTTTTTT